TATATATAAATATATAAAGTGCTTTGAGGGAATACCCCAGCCGCTAATTTATTGATTGGTTTAATCAAACGATCGCTCCGCTATCGCATGTTTTAGTCAATTGATCAATTACACGACAACAAATGCCGATTTTGTTCCAATAATCGAATGGGTCAACCTTCAAAGTGTTAGTAGCAACTGGGAAGGAAGACCACTATGCGTGTGCGTGCCCGTCAACATTGACGAGAACGCGCACGTAGCTGTCAGTAGGAAATACTGTTCGTGTTGGATGGATGCACCCCTGCGCCTCTACTAGGATATATTAATGACACCTTTGTTTTTTTCGATTCAGGATGTAAACGCCTTATTTGAATTTTGGCTTCAATTTCGTAGCAATTCGGAAAGCCATTCTGAAGCATTTAGCTAGCCAGGCTAAGTGAAACGGGATACTAATAGCATTAATGCTAATAGCTAAATTAGGCTAAAATAAGCTAAGTTAGCAGGACGGTTGCTGTCTTCTAACTGTTCGCTTCGTCTAGCAGCTCCTATCCTGGTTTGTCCTTATCGCGTTGTCTGTACACAGAGCAGTTGTGCAGAACCGGAGCTGTGGCGGGGAAAGGTGGCTACAGGAACCCCCTGGCTATCCAGGCGGACGGACCGCAGTGACACGCCGGTTGTTGGTGAGTTGAAACGCGGGGGTAGAGTTAGAGCTGACCGGGGCACTGGGCAGGGCGAGGCCGTGGACGCTGCTCGCTCAGGGCCCTTTCAGGCAATGCGGGTGTTAACTATTAGTAAACCATTAGCTCTGAATCGGGAAGTTGAGTCGCTTCGGCCTTCAGAGAGGATATGACAACAAAGACGCCGATGCTATTTGGTGCTGAGGCACCTTACCGCTAAGCTGCGTGGGGCAACCACAACATACATGAAGCTGCTTTATCAGCACATTGCTGGATCACCATGGTTGTCCGGACGCTGTGTTTAGGTTACTTGCTTGTGCACTGCTTTATTTATAGCCAAATAATTATTGCTTGTTGCAAATTATATCCATTTATTAATTATTTTGTCTAAAGCATTCAGGTCTTGAGTATAGACGAGTATAAAAGAGTAAAAAACCCATTCATACTAGTTTGATTTCTGAGCATTTTGCAATGGCTATTGTGGTTTCCAATTGATCTATTTTATCTCTTAAAAAAAAAAAATGTAATGACATAAAATCCAGCAGAATAATTTCCCTAGAAGTTAAAATGCAGAGTTTAGTAAAATGATTTGTTCATTGTTCCCAGAATGATTTAAGAGTTTTGCATAGAATTTACTTTACTCCTATAATAATGAAACTACTTACTCCTTCTTGGATGCACCTAAATTTCCCTCAACCTCTCTTAAATATTGTAAACAAATTAATTACTTGTACTTAATTGAATAGTACTCAAAGTGCCACCTGGCAAAATTGAGTCAATAAAAAAAATCAATCTCATTAGCCTTTATCAAAAAAGCTTTTCTAAAGCATTTCTTTAAATAAAACATTTAAGCAAAAGTAAATAGATAACCTGTTATTCTCTACTATGTAACTTGGATTATTCTAGGTGGTAACTAATTTCATCTTTCCTAGGAATGTTTCTGTAAGTTAATTTCAGTCCATTGCTAAATTCAGGAGAAAATAAAACAAATAAAAATCAAGCACTATCTTCTATCTAATGTATAACATTTTATATGAGGTTCTATAGTGGACAACACCAGAGGGAAAACAGACAAAGGGGTTGTCTGTAGACCTCCCAAGACTGGAATAAGTCTTAAGCATAAATGTTATGATAGATTTAAAAAATCTAAGCCACACTGTCCAACAAACTCTGTCCCCGCTGTGATTTTAAAATAAAAGGAGTTTTAGGCAAACAGGAACTTCCATGGATCTGTCAGCCCAACCATACAAAGAATCATGTGCTCGCTAAGCCTGAGCTCCAGTGTTTTATGTGTGGAGATCGGAGAACCTACCAGAAGGTCAACCATTGCTAATGCATTCTGCTATCAGCCCTGTTAGAGTTGCCCTTAACTAAAAGATACTTGATGGCCTGCTTAAGTTTTGGTCAAAAAGAATGATTTTGATCAGAACAATAACCCGAAGACACTAACACATAACGTATTTTCCTTGTACACTATTTGATAGGTCTGTAGAAAAGCATAAACTGCTCATAATCTGGCAAATACTATTTCCAAATATGTTGGTGGCAGCATCATGCTGTGATGTTGGTTGCTGTTAATGTAACAACCAATTCTCATCAAGGGTAACATGACAGCAGCCAAATATTCTGTAAGAAAACCTGCTCCAAAGTCCTCAGGAACTAAGAAGTAATGATGTTCAACTAGGTGTAGAGTAGTGTAGAGTATCTGACCATGCTGTTCATCTAACCTGAAAGAGATTGATTGTACCTGTAGAGAAGAATGGAAGAGAATACCCTTAAATGGGTGTGTCCAGGGTTAGGGATGGAAAAAGCAATCAGGCTAAAAGTTAAAATTCTTGTGTACCTACTATGATTAAAGGTTTGCATCATTAATGAATTTGTAGTAACATCTTAAAACATCTTAACACGTTGTCATTAGGTACCATTTTTGTATAGTACGTCTCTAAAGCACATTGTAAAAGGTCTAGGTTTTGCTTCATTTTAATTTAAGTTATACTTTCTTTTCTTTCTTTTTGTGATACAACCTTTCTATTAATACATTTTTAATGCATAAGAGCTGCTGCCTTAATATTTCCAATAAAATCAAAACCAAATAGAAAGATTTGAGGCACAGTATTTTTGACTTAATATTCTTAACGGATTTGTAAAAGAAGAAAATATTGGGTTGGTTTTGATAATCCTTTATTTTGGGTGTTATTTGTCAAAAATAGTATTCTGCTATTAATACTTATTACCACTCTGTTCTGTCAGTCGGGTATTTTCCAATAATATTGAACCATTTGAACCATTTCTTAGCATATAGAGAAAGAAATATTTTAGACCTTTTTTTTCTTGCTTTCCTCAGTGTCCTAGTAATTTGATTTTGTGTGTTGTTTTATTAGGTTATTTATATTGATTTGTTTATGACTTTTGAATCAAAATTCCATTTTAAGTCAAGCAGATTTTGAATGAAATCTCATAAGATGTGACCCCTGCACACTAACTACCGTAGGTTGCCAGGAAATCACAGATTTGACATCATATCAATCTGTGAGCATAAAGTTTCCAGTTTTCCAGTCTTCAACCTCAGCTGTAATGTTTCCTCAAAGGCTTAATTCATCTAACTTTTATTATACTTATTTTTGAAAATCGTCTTTGTCCATTATTAAATAACACTTACATGGTGAATAGTGATTGTAATGGTAAGTCCAGCTTTGAGTTTTGCTCCTCACAGAACATAATGGCTACATAGATTAAAGTAGCTCATCCAGCTGTTGGTTGTGCTTTTAGAAAAAAAATGTTTTAACAGGAAGCTCGACCAGCTCACTTATGATTTTAGTGTAAATCTTGAGCAGAAATGAATCATTTATTTCATTAAACCAGATTGCAAAACAAACTAGTTACTAATTCTTAAATGCCTGCTGCCATTATAAACATTAAGTTTGAAGATATTGCTGAAATATTGCAGAGCTTCTAAAGGTGGTGGTTATAAAGCCTTTAAAAAAAATGTTTGTACATATTGAACTCCTTGCATGTTACAATTGACATTTCTAATTCTTAGACTTAAAAGAACAAGGTTGAGTTTTATTTAGATTATTTTCATATCTTATTATTGACTAATTTATAAATTTATATCTTTCTTTACCACTTAGATGCTCCTTCAGACCAATGTAACAGTATGGCTTGTTTACTTTTTAATGGTAATACCCCATCTTTATTTTCTCTTTAATTCTCATAGAGAAATTAGATTGGAACAATGGCCGAGCTTTCCACCTTATCTCCTTCCCCACCACCACTTGGGGACCCAGCTGCGGCTCCATCTGTCGCTCCACCAGTGTTACCTGCTTCTAGCAGCCCCGGGTCTGCTGTGGAGGTGCCTGTACCTAAGTCTTCCCTCTACAACAACAAAGCTTTGACCGGAAACATTTCTTCAGTACTTTCAGGAAGTTCATCCTTGATTGCTCAGCCTCCTAAAAGTTCCACTAAACCCACTGTAGATGCCACTGTACCATTATTGACACCAGAAGCTGCTCCTAAAACAGAGGAGCCTGTAGGAAATAAACAAGAGCCTGCCACCAGTGACCAAGCTGCTCCAAATCTCTCGAATACTGATGTTAAAGAACTGGCAGCTCAGACAAAAGCTCTAGATGAATCATTATCTCCCGACTTAAATCCTGGTCCTAATCTCTCCCCAAATGTCCATGTTTCCTCTAACTCAATCCCCGTCGACATTGCTCCGCCTCAAACAAGTTCGGATATCATCCCAACACCTGCTCTTCCAACAGCAAGAGTAGAGGAGAAACCTCAGCCACCACCACAATCACAAAAACCTCAAAATGAGTCGCCTTCTCTGTCCCCAAAGCATGTTCCTTTGAGCGATACTACACCGACCAGAGCAGCACCACATAGCCCAACTCTTCCTGTGATCCAAGAGCCAGCTGCCCCACTACCAAACCCCAAAATGGCCCCTGACAACCTAAGCTATCTGGACTCAGCCAGCCTGATGTCTGGGACACTGGAGTCCCTGTCTGGATTGGGAGAGGACGGGAGCTCTCTGGGCTCAGACTCTGAGATCAATGGCCTAACCATGAGACGCACTGATAAATATGGATTCCTGGGTGGGACTCAGTACAGCGAAGGAGCGTAAGTCACAAACTAATCACTACCACTCCCAGCTGTCAGGAAATAATACTGTTCATATGTTCTCCTGTTTTCTGTGTCACATATTCTGAAGCAAACATCAACTCTAGCTGAGTCATGTTCCCTTTGGACACCTGATCAGTGCTATAAGATATAATGAGCTGTGAAAAAGTATTTCCCCCTCTATAGAGCTATTCTATTTCAGCTTTTTAGTCACATCATAGAGTTTCAGATTATCACACAGATTTTAACATCAGATAAAAATGATTTTGGTGACGCATAAGCCAGTTCACAAATTATGATTTGATTTATAAAAGGAAAAATAATCAGAAACAATCTGGTTCTGAGTGAAAAGGTAAACGGATTAATTTAATCTTTTTTTTTATTTTTTTATTTAAATGACGCCTGTAGAATTAAGAAAATATATAAATGGACCCTGTCTGACCCAACAAAGTAGGTTAAAAGATCAAAACATCATCCTTAGATCTGAAGAAATTTAAGAACAGATGAGAGCTTTTGTCACTGGCATCTATCAGTCAGCAAAGGTTATTTCTAAGGATTTGGTTCTCAAATGGACCACTTTAAGGGCTATTATCCACTAATGTGCAAGAGACATGATGGTGGTGAATCTTCTTAGGCAGAAAAAAAGTTACTCGATGATCACTTGGACTCCTCCCCCAGTAGGTCATACTCAGAACATATTAAGTACCGCAGGCATCTCTCCCACTGGCGAATTAAGCATTGAGTGCAGAATAAATGTTCAATATGGCAGAATAAAACAAATGCATAGCAGAAATGATTTTGTTCGCTTTCAAACAATGTGTTGATAATGTTGCAGAGTCTTAGAGTACCTTGTTTTTTTTTGGTGTCTCAGTGTGGATACTCATTGGCATGACTCAGACTCTGCCATTACCTACCTGACACACGACTTCACCTCATTACTAGAATGAGATGTGGCCTGAACATAAACATGCTGTTTATGCTGAAAAACTAGTAATTGTCATGGAGTCAAATCCTGAAAAGCAGTGTAGAAAGCAGTGGCCCGTTATCATAAGCCCTTGATGGAAGTTGTTGCTGCCAATTCTGGCACAGGTACTTATTAGACTGAAGGGGGAATTATGTTTAAACACAGGGCCAGGTGAGCTTGGATGTCTTTTTTCGCTTCTTTGAAGGAAATCAGTTTTTGAACACTCATTTTTGTCTGATATTAAAATGTAGCTGATGGTCTAAAAGAATAAATTGTCTAAAAATAAATCTGTCATGGGTTAAATGCTTTTTCACTGCGCTTAGCTAAGAGCATGATGCGGAACATAATTCCTTTAATCATCCATTCATTCAAACGGAATTCTGTTCATTTTAGCTCGTAGAGAACATCTTTGCGTTTCTGCATCAGCTTGACTTTCTGCGCCTCTTTTTATTCTGGTGCACTAAACATATCTCTGTCCTTTATCTCTCCTTGGTCTGACTCAAATAGTGCTGAGAGCACTTTTGTGACTCAGTGTGTTCTGACTGTCTGTCTGTGGTAACACCTCCCCCCCACTAACACACACACACACACCCATCAGCTTTCTTCCTATTATTTGGTCAGATTGGCTTCTGCTTATCTAACACGCTAATTGCACTTCCACTGATAAGTAATTCTGGTTCTTTTGAGTTAAAGTTTCTGCTCTTTATGAGCTGCTCATCACTAACTCGTTTTAACAGGCAATTCCAAATGAATGTGAATATTGTAAAGAATAATCAATATTCAATATTTTTTTTCCTTTTTTGAAGATGTAACTTATATCTAACACAGGTTCAATACGCATAGAGTCTATAATTTTAAGCTTTTGTTTCTTGTATTTTTATTATAATGGCTTACAAATTAAGCCAGGCATACACTGTGCGATTTTTTTTTTTTCAATCGTTACACGCAGCTGCAGCTCATACTGGACGACAATGTTTGTGCAGCACGGTGCACTGATGCGATCTACCTGCTCACACTGTAAAATCCACTTCAGATTCAGCTCCGCAGTGAGATGGAGCTACTCTGACTCATCTATCCAGAAGCCAAACAATTAGAAGAGGAATAGGAAGCTCACTAGAGTGAACCGCTCTGCCTTGGGAATTTGTGCAATTTTGTGCTAAAAGCCCTAAAAACAAAAGGCGACGAAGTATTTGGATAAAGACATGGCTGAGCAAATGTGGCTACTACGGTCTGACAATTTTATTGAAAGAACTCCATTTCACTCACACCCCCATCATGCTTCTGTTTTTTCCTCTTAGAGGAAGAGGAAAAAGAAGAATCCTTGTATGCGCATGTCCACTGAGCGATTTGCCCACGACGGTGGGGAGACAATCAAACATGTTTGATTTTCTCCCGACCTCACGATTCCTGATCGGGAGGTGGTCGTGAGAGGCTGATCGCCACTCGTTACCCCCGTACACTACACGATGTACGTTGAACTATCAGGCTGAAAGTCGGCCCGATCGGAAAATTCTCGCACAACTGGAAAGTCGGCCCGAAAAGGGCAAAAAAATCGCACAGTGTAAGCCTGGCTTTATAAAAACCCCATGTAAATGTAACAGTCACTAACTTCACACACATGGAGGGTATGCCAGAAAAGTTAATTAGTAAAGTGGCTGGTTTTCAAATGGCTTCATCATATTTATACAAAGTTAAGCGGAAGAAAACTTGTTGGTAAAGATGCACAAACAGCAGCGATAATGACAACCGTGAGAAATCATGACAGTTGAAAAGGCTGTCGAGCAATATTCATGTCAGGATTGGAGGGATCTTCATAAAGAGTGGACTGAGGCTGGATTCAGCACAGCCATCTTTCTCACTGTATCAATCCTTTTGCTCACTTTTGCTTTGTGGTCCAAAATCTTTTTTATTTTTCACTTTAAGGTTAAGTTTGCTTGTTTGAAATTAAGGTCCCAGAGTCTGGAGGAAGGATTGGAGGATTAGAATCCCTGCTGCTTTAACACCAGGGTGAAGTTTGCACAGCCAGTGATGATTTGAAGGGTCATATCATCTACAGGTTTTGCCCCACTGGGTTTTCTAAAGTCCACATTGGACATACAGTCCAATTTAGAGCACATTTTTTTTCTGCCGACCAGCTTTATGGAGATGCTGATTTCATATTCCAGTGAGACTTGGCACCTGCCAACACTCCTGAAGTTGTTATCTTACTGTGTTGAATGGGCCATTAAATAGGCCTGAAATGGACCATGTTAAAAACCCGAACAGTAACATAGATGTACTGAGGTTTGTTATAAGAGCAACTAGGGTTTTGTTGCACCCTTAGCAAAACCACAGACTGATTTCCTTCATGCCATGCTGCACTGATGCAGTAATTCATGCAAACGGTGCCAAATCAAGTGTTGAATGCATAGATAAAGACATACTTTTATGAAGCCAAAAATCTTTGTTAAACAAGTATTCCTCTTTTATTTTACATAATATGTTAAATAAAATTTTTACGGGATATTGAATCCGGGGTTTTTATAAAAAATTTAAATCCTCAAACGATTAAAAGCTTTACATTTTTCAGTCTGTGGAGAATCTAACCTTCCACTTTCTGAAATAAGTAAAACAAAATGTTTTTTCTTCTCCATACATCATAATTTTAGGAATGAATCCCTCTGAATGTATCTATTTATTAATGTTTTCAAGGCTGCACTTTAAAATATGAAATTGTCTAGAGCTGTTCTAAACGAAATTTCTATTTATTTACACTTGTGTACACAAAAAGACAAAATAAACCTAAGTCTCTAAGTCTAAGACATTAAGTTGTGTGACAGAGAAAATTGAACCATTTGTCAATTAAAAATGAAAAAATTCTTTTTTATTACCAACTATTTCAGCGATAAGAAAATTCAAGTTGAAGTTGCAAGGCAAAGGGAGATGAAATGGTTGGATATGTTTTGCCACTGGGACAAATGGGTCAAACATCGCTTTCAGAAGGTATGCAATGGGAATTGTTGAGTAAGATTTATATGGGATTCAAAAGTAAGGCCTTTTGTGTCTTGGATTGGTCGTACTTCACACAGTGTCTCTATGAACTACAGGTGAAGCTGCGCTGCAGGAAGGGAATTCCATCTTCACTCCGGTCCAAAGCCTGGCAGTTACTGTCTGACAGCCAGAAGCTGCTCGAAGAAAACCCTGGGAAATTTGAGGTAAAGGGAATCATGTCCTTTTTATTGGAATACCGGTAACTCTAAAATGGAAACCTTTAGATTTGTATAAATTCTAAAAATTCGAAACTTGAAATTATTATGATTTTTCTTAAAGCTGCATCATCTAGTCAGACGGTGTGCACAATATCAGTATTGGAATAAAGAAGACAGAAATAAATAGCATTGAATTGTGAAGCTATTCATGCTTTATGCTGTTTGTTTAACACAGTAGAAATGATTTTGGAAAGCCTTAAAGGAATAGTACACCCAAAACATGATTAGCCTTAATTTTCTACTCACCCCCATGCTGAACAACACTCTGGAGTACTTTTTTGATATCTCAAATGCATCTGGAGATCTGAGAGGCTTCTTGCTGTTTGCTGAAATTCAAATAATGGAGGTCTATGGTGCCCGAGACAGAAAGGTCCATAAAAGTCCACAAAAAACGTGTCAATATTCCTCCATACTGCTCGTCCAATGTATTCCAAGTGTCCTGAGTGGGTAGCATCCAGAATTTACTCGAAACGAAGTCATTTAGAATGTTTTTAGAGCATAAACAGTAGTGTATAGGATTTCCAAACCAGATGAAAGTGCGCATTCAGCTCGGCAAAGAACTCATGCTCTTCCTCAACACTGAAGTCCTCAGACATTTTTCTTTCGTTGTTTCTTTCTTTGCACAGGTAAACGGCACATTTCTTCTTCTACGCTTGCATTATCGGCAGAGCAGACGCTGAATGCGCACTTTCGTCTGGTTTCGTCTGCCGCGGTTTCCGTAGACTCGTGAACGCGCTTTTAGGAAATCCTATACACTACTGTTTATGCTCTAAAAACATTCTAAATGACTTCGTTTCGAGTAAATTATGGACGCTACCCACTCAGGACACTTGGAATACATTGGACGAGCAGTATGGAGGAATATTGACACGTTTTTTGTGGACTTTTATGGACCTTTCTGCCTCGGGCACCATAGACCTCCATTATTTGAATGTCAGCAGACAGCAAGAAGCCTCCCAGATCTCCAGACGCATTTGAGATATCAAAAAAGTACTCCAGAGTGTTGTTCAGCATGGGGGTGAGTAGAAAATGAAGGCTAATCATGTTTTGGGTGTACTATTCCTTTAAGATGCTTGGATAAAAAGTCTACCTACTGATTTGTTTTTATTGCAAAAGCAGCTGCTATACCCAAATGCAAGTTTTACTACGAATCCTTGCTGCAGGGATGGAAATGATGAATTATTTTATTCAATAGAAGCTGGATAGAGTCCTGACTGTCTTGGTTCAATGTTTGTAAGGAACCCAAAGTTCCTACCACTACAATATTTATATATTTTTTCCACTTCATGTTGTCACTCTGAAACAATAACATTTGCCATTGTTATTGCATGTTTTGATGTCATGCTGCTCTAATTATTTTTGATTAATACAATTTGATTAAAACCTTTAAAGTAGTGGCTCAGTAGAGCATTTTTAAATCTAGCTGTGCTAAATGGTTGCAGACACAAACCAAAGAAGGTGTAAGCTCCTTATCAGGACTTGTAATCCTCTCTAAGGGCTGTTTTTTTGTCCTGGTCAGAAGGTTTAATCCTTATTATTCTAAGAAACCATTTTCTTTTTAACTTAACTATGTTAAACATTTATGTCTGGAACCTGATGTAGAATTTGTCAACACGATTTCGAGCATTTCAAGAGAGTTTATACTGAATCTAACCTTGATAATTCTTGTTTTTCCTTATTATTTTTTTTACTGCAGGAGCTGGAGAGAGAACCAGGTGAGGCTAAATGGCTGGATATCATAGAGAAAGATCTTCACCGGCAGTTCCCTTTCCACGAGATGTTTGCTGCACGCGGAGGACATGGGTAAATTTCCACCATTAAACTTACATATTTAATTAATAAGGAACATGTTTCCCTTTATGTTTACACATTTTTATTAAAAGTGATTCGTAAACATTAAGAAAGCGTTTTTGTTATCCAGTATGGTGGAAAATTTCACCTTTTGACCTCAGAACTCGTGATTTGACAATCATTCATCCGAAATGTAATCGCTTTTACAGACAACAAGATTTGTACCGAATCCTGAAGGCCTACACTGTCTATCGGCCTGATGAGGGTTACTGTCAGGCCCAGGCTCCAGTGGCTGCAGTGCTTCTCATGCACATGCCTGCAGAGGTGAGAGCTTCCCCAAACCATTATTTATGGAAAGATTCTGTTAATTCTGCAAACTAGTAAAATTAATGATGCCTTTTGAAATGTTCATTGGTTAAGTTACCCAGAAGTTATTACCCTTGTTAAAGTAATATGATTTATTATTATATTTGGCCTGTCAAAACGTTCTGCGCTGAAGGAAATCTAGCAGATTTTAGGACATTTTACAACCAGAACCACCATTGTATTATTTGATGTGAGGGATTAAAACAAAAAGGTCAAAATGAAGGGAAAAGAACAAGCTTGATTGAAAATCTTAGTAGATTTGTGTCGTGTCTTTCAGCCGTTTGAACGCATGCTAAAGCACCCCTGGTTGGGGTTGCTATATTTCTTAAAGTTGAACTATTTTCCCCTGTATCAAGCTTTGGTATCCAAACAGCTTTTGTCCCAAACAAACCTCAACATTGCTCCTCCTATCAGCTTTGCCTAGCTTCCCTATCCCTGCAGAAGAAAAGCATCCCCACACCACAAAGCTTTCACTGCAATGTTTCATTATGAGGATGCTGAGATTTAGGTATGGTGTTGGTTTTCAGTTACACTTAGCTTTTCTGACTCATTTAACTTGATGACCCCTTAAAATTCTCTGCAGCTATTAGATCTAGTTACACATATATGTTCCCCATTGAATCATGAGGTAAGGGGGTTGGTACAGAGTCTTAATTTATGTACCTTTCACAGTTATGTACTTCATTTGGTTGCACTGTTACCTAAAAGTGACGTTTGTCACTGTGGCATAATGTGTGAAGTTTCAAGCATTCCAACATGATGCAAGACAAAAGGACAGGAAGATTAGTTCATGTTATTGTGTCATATCCATAACAATTGTCCTCTGCACTCACTCCTTGTTTAGTCAGAAATTGTATCATAATGATTTTTGGTGTCTACTTTGCGCCCACTCAGCTTACACATGACGGAAGAGCGTGGGCACAGTGGAAAAAAACAACCAGGCATGGCAGAAGGAACTCATAACGTAGTTCCCTATACAGATTTTTGAATAATACAAGAGCAAGGAATATGAGCTTTTACTGTCATCTTTTGCATCCTTTTTAAGGAATATATATGTGCACATATTAAATCTAACCTTTTTTCCGTTTTTGTGGTTGTTATTGACGATAATTAGACGGGAAATGGACAGAAAGGGAAGGGGAAGAATTACCAGAAAAGTCCCAGTGTTAGGACTCCAGATGGTTACGTTGATAAATGTTAGCTTCTGTTTATGGTTCAAACTCTGCCCCTTAGCCAACCATCCACCCTAATCTTTTTTTAGCAAGTTATTTGTTATTTAAGGATGCAGAATATTAATAATAAGTATATAAAGATTTATCAAAACTTAGAAATAAAATGTGAATGCACCCTATGTGTTTTTGCATGGTGAGCCTTTTTGTAATCCTTAAATGACGCCATTTATGGTTATTTGACAGCAAGCCTTTTGGTGCCTCGTCCAGATTTGCGAAAAGTATCTTCCTGGCTATTACAGCGCCGGGCTGGTGAGTGATTCAAACAATCTGTTTTTCTTCTTTGAGTTTCTCAGGGTGACTGATGATCCCTTTCATTCCGATAGGAAGCGATTCAGCTGGATGGCGAGATCTTTTTCTCTCTTCTCCGACGTACATGTCCTATGGCATACCGCCATCTTAAGAAGTTCAAGATTGATCCAATCCTCTACATGACGGAGTGGTTCATGTGCATATTCTCACGCACCTTACCGTGGTCCTCTGTTCTGCGTGTCTGGGACATGTTTTTCTGTGAAGGTATAGTTCATTTTCAGCGCTAAACAAAGGAAATAACAGTGCTGTAAAAAGAAATTGATTAATTTATTCAGATTTAATCTTTTTTTTTTTATGTTTTTGTCCCAGTTTCATTCTTTGAGGTAATAAAATAAAATAAATGAAGGACAAAGATAACCAAAGTAAAAACAAAATCAATTTTTAAATAATGGTTTCATTTTTAAAGGGAAATGGCTTTTCAATCCAAACTGGTTTAATGTTAAAATTTCCACCATGTTAGATCATGGATTAGCTGGGATTAATATTAAATCCAATCCAGTTTTCCTAACCACACACAGTCCTAACCATTACTTGACTGGAGACCACTTGAATATAATGTCTCCAAAAACAAGAAAAAAGCTAAAACAGCTCAAGAAATGTTACATTTAAGTAATTCAAAAATACATAAGAAAAGATTTGTTGACATTTTCATTCGGGATAATGGTTAAAATCTGTTATTATAGCTGTTCTGATGATCCCAAATATTTCTGTGGACTGGTGGAACAGAGGTGGAATTTTCTAGAATGCCTGATGCATTGGATTTTTTAAAAAACAACAACATATCTGAAATAGAACATCATATTTGGAGTCAGTCTTTGTGGAGCTGCTTTAGAATCAGGAGGGCGTCCTCGAATAATGGGAACATTAATTCTGTTCTCTGCCAAGAAAATCCGAAAGAAGGATGTCCAGTCAACAGTTAGTCACCTAATTTGTGCTTAACATACAAAAATAAAGAAATAGGAAATAAGATTAACTGAAATGTAAAATATTGCTGCGTATTTACAAGTTTTTTTTGTGTTTAGAAAAGGATTTGCTTGTGCAGTGGGATGTGTGGAGGAGTTGTGCAATATTTTTCAGTATTGTTTTATTTACTTATTGGTTTGAAAGTATTATCACACTTGCTGTGAGGATAAACAATAATCTCTGTTATCCTCAGAATAGACAATAAGTAGGCGTCAGTTGAGCTTGAGAGGAAAAGGCTATGCTGTTGCTCTTCTGTTCTAAACTTCACCAGGTTAATGGGTTTGATATCCATTACTTTCTTCCCAATCACTTCAAGTCTTAGTCTTATTAGTGTGCTTTAGTAAAAGAAAATAAGTTTAAATAATATTTCTAAGCATTGAGCGTGAACTGGATATCACTTTCTCTGCAAATAGGTAATTTTGTCCTGCATTGTTACTGAAAGTACAAGAAAGGACACAGCATACCGATCTGGGTCCCTCTACTCAGCACATATTGGATTTTCAGTCTGGAGGCTTTTTTTACCAAATTCCCTGAGGATTTGTGATGTCATTTTGGGCTCTTTTTATTGTTCTATTTTAAATCCATTGATAAATTCTTGAAATTTTTTTTTATTTTTAATCACTGCAGTAAACCATTAGCTGCCACCTTTATCTCTTGGCCATCTTTATCTCCCCTTTCTGCAACCTCAGACAAGGGTTTAGCTGTTACCTATTACCACATCGCTTTGATGTTTTATCTGTTGTTTTGTATTAACAAGGTCAGTCCTTTCAAAGCTCAGCAAGTGTTAGAATTCTGTTTTATGATAAACTGTACACGATATTGAAAAGAGGTCCATAGTGTAGAAACCCAGCATTTAAGGTTTTATAAACTTGAGTTATACAGCTGGACAACGAAAGCACACCCAACAAATCTACTTTTAAATGAATATATAGAATCTAAAGAGAGAGAAATAAATCAAATTCAGGATCTGGGATGGCCTATTCAAAAGTAAACTTGAGAGGCTGTGGCCTGACCCATGTGATCATGGGACCAGAAGTTAATTTTCATTACAATAAGGTTGGTTTCTTCAGCAAAAAAAGATTAAATGATGATTTGAAATCTTTTCTATGAAGTCATCTTTGTCTGATATGCATATTTATAACAGCTGGAAATTGTTTAAGATTTAAGTTTGCTTTTATTTTGTGTCCTTTGTTTAGTAAAACTGTATTCTTTAACTCCTTGGCTCTAGGAGTGAAGATAGTATTTCGTGTGGGCTTGGTGCTGCTGAAGCAGATGCTGGGCTCTGTAGATAAGCTCCGGGAACTGCAGGGCATGTACGAGACCATGGAGCGCCTCAGAAACATCTCACCCGATACTATCCTAGAGGACATACTTGTACAGGAGGTCAGTTTGAACTTTACAGGTTTGGTTCTGTTTTCACACACAGACTCGAGTTATGAGTCATTTTGCCATATAGAACCCAGTCTCAAACGTTTTACTTCCCTCTTTGTCTTGCTTGTTTGTGGATCCACAGATCATAACTCTCCCAGTGACGGACGCGCTCATTGAGAAGGAATGCAACATTCAGGTGAGGAAATGGAGGGAGTCTAGAGGGGAGCTGACCCACCAGCCAGGCCGCCGGCTCCACGGAACAAGAGACATCTATGAGTACAAGCGACGGGCTTCTGCCATCAGCTCAGGAGGGAGCTTTTCTTTCCTCGGAAGCCCAGCGCCACCCCCTGGACCCCTGCGAGCCTCTTCCAGCCTCCTCTCCCTCCCTGGCTTCCGTAAATCTCGGGCTCCTTTCCACTCCCAGCCTAAAAAAAGCTCCTTCTCCGGGCCTGTAGGGTTGGAAGGTTTTCCTCCCTACTCTCCTCCGGCTCTTGTCTCAAGCCAAAAACCACCTATTCCTCCAGGAGCAGGTCAGAAGGCGTCAGCACCACATGTTCAAAGCCCATTAGTTGGTGGCTCAGTTGGATCTTCCCACGGGCCAGCTCCAGCTTCAGAGAGCACCTCCGCACAAAGCCAAGCGGCACCTCCGGCACCCGCACAAAGCACACCTCCGCCTAACACTCTGTCCCCCTCCCCTAAGATCGTCTCGGAGCAGATCACTCCCACCATCCCTTCTCCTACTGCTAACAACGCCCCTTTGCAACCAGAGCCCTCAAAAGAAGCAGCATCATCAGCGTCTGGAGAGGAAGAAGGGAAGAAAAAGAAGAAAAGCAAAGAAGATAAGAAGAAGGAAAAGGAAGATGAGAAGAAAAAGCTCAAAGAAAAGAAGGAGAAGGAAAAGCTTGAGAGGGAAAGGGCCAAGAAAGAAAAGGAGAGGCTAGAAAAGGAGAAAAGGAAAGGGGGCAAGAAGAAGGACAAAGGGGTTGCAGAGGCAGAAGAGAAGAACGGAGCTACAGCAGCGAGAGAATCAACCTAGTTTCTTCACCCAGTCATTTCATGATAATGAAAAGGGAAGATGGGAGAAAAAACAGGTCAAAAGAACAAAAGAGCTTCTGAAACGGTGATCAATTTCAAATCTGGGATGCTTTCCTGTATGTTGCATCATTTTGGAGACTTTATATGTATCAAGGACTATGATGGAGACGACTGGATTGTTGTTTTAAAAGCACCTTGAGGTGTATTTAACTCTCTAAATGCTTTTTGTTTCCCTCACTTTGAGTTTTATTGACGTTGGATGCATTTTTATAACTGGAGCACAGACTTTCAATTGTTTTTTTTGTTTTTTTCGCTGAAAAGCGTACATTCATTACTTTCTTTTTATTCTTTCTCAAGACTGATGGCAGAATTTAAAGAAACATGAGGGATGGGGTAGAAGCTGTAACATAGTACTTGATATTAATTTAAATTAAAACTTAGCCGCAGCTCACAGGGTTAACACTCCATGTTTTCTCTCAAGTCTTACCTGTGGAAAGGTTTAACTGGATCCATGGGGAAAATAAAGCAGCCATCTCAAATCGGGGCACTGAAGACAAAAAAAAAAGGCTTTTTATGATGTTGAGGATATATTTATTGTCTTAGTAAATGTGTATGAGAGTGAGGGTGTGTGTGTGTGCGCCTTAGTAGAGTAGTGAAATGTGTCAATGTTCAGTGTGCGGTCCACTGCAGCCTGCTTTCTCTGTGTAATTTCAAACTAATGTCGAATCATTGCTGCAGTTCTTCCCAAAACATTAATTTATTCTTTAGTACAGATCTGATGGCTGACGAATACAGTGCCGCTCAGAACCCTTCGTTTCAGCCATTAATTGTTTCTGAGGGAAAATATGTATACAACAAGCAACTGCCAGGTAGTAAAAGAAAAAAAGAATACTTTGCAAAAAAGCTCATGTGATTTGGATTTAAGATTAACACACAGGCTCAGATATAAATACTCCACTAATATGTTTTCATGTTATATTTGCATGTTGCAGAGAACTTTTTTTTTTTTTTTTGCGACTCCTCTTATAGTTGTGCCTGGATTTTTGACCAGTTGAGGTAATAGTTAGCTTGTAGGAATGGGCCCTTTTTTATTTAAAGCATAGTCCAGTTATTCTAATCAGGATTAAATCAGCTAAATGTTAGCCTGGATTATTCATTCCAAAATCAATTTGAATCTGTTTTCTAGTTTTTGATTTGAGATGGAATTAAGGTCTTTGAATATGGTCCAACTCCATTATTCCATCAGATCTCTCCAATGCACCAATACCACTGGTGGTAGTGTGATGCTTCCAATAACATGCTTGACAGATGATTAATTGTACTTCTGTTTCAAAGCCTCAATTTACTAATCCAGTCATTTTTGCATGATCATTTAGACATTTGGCTTGTCCAATTGGCTCTCTGAATGTTTGGTTCCAGTTTAAAGGCATGGATTTCAGAGCTGCAGCTTCTTTTTTGATAGCCCTGTTAGATTATGTCATCGTGGACAGTGACACTATCATCATCTTAAGGGTTATGATGGGCGACTGGATACTCCCCGAGTACTACTTAACCATAATCCATTCATTTAAAGGAATTCCCACTTGCAAACTGGTTTTGGAGTTGGTAACGCTGGCTAACAATAAGCTTCTCAGTTAAAAATGTTTGGACTACGCTTTAAAGTTGAGTTTGTAATATAAAATTAGCCACTCAAAGGAGTCTAGCATTTCTTTTGAGATGATTGGTTAAATATCTAAACAGAGTTAAGGGAGGAACTTGTCAAGACTTCAAACACCAAATGGTTTACTCTGCAGCTGGCTGTGGAGCATTTACCCAATAATTATAAATATAAACAAAGATAAAAATGTGGGCATCTAATTCTTTATCATTATTTCTTTTTAAGTTGTGCATGTTTCCTCAGCCTGTCGAGGGTAGAGCTGCAAAGCTCAAAATGAATAACGTATCCCGATGAGAGTATGTAAACTTCTGAGCAGCACTGTAAAAACAAGGGCGATTAGAGCAGATGGAGACACCATACAGTGATAGACGTTTTTAAATGGTGTTTCTGATCAGTGGTAAAATGATTAAGGATGATTTCATGCTTTATTTCAGGCTTATTTAAAAAATGAAATGTTTTCGACACCTTAGGTTAAACCAATGTCCTTAAGCTAGTATTAATTATAATCCACTCATTTTATCCAATCGATTTTCAATATTTCTCAACCTAAATTCATTAACCAATGAGACTGTGAGTCTAGGTACATTAGAACAATGAAGGATGATTTTGCACTTGCACCATTGAAGTTATTAATTTATCAGTTTGGAAATCTCTGCCTTGAGGACCTGTAGGAAGGTACCAGGTTTGCCAATGTAGCGTTACCGTCTAACCTTGACCCGTATGGGCGTATTTATGTACAAAGGGGTTTATTTAATCAAATATAGTATATTATTAATTATTTTCATCTGACTATTTTTCTAAGAGGGATAGACACCTGGTGGACTGGAACGCTGGTCAGCTGCAAAGTGTAGCAGCAGGAGGATCTTCTTTTGCACATCATATCCTCTGCTTTTACATGTCAAACTTGATGCATTTCTTTGCTTTTATTTAATTTTACACTTCGTTGGTTTTGGTCGAATTTTGTTCACAAGTCTCCAGGCCATCGTCATACAGTATTAAAGAGTTTAAAGGAAACAAACGGGCCACCTTCAGAACAAAGTGATACATTTGCTTCTTCGTACTGTAGCACATGTCAAAAAGTGTTTCATGGTTTTGAAGCGGCCCTTGAGATCCTCAGTGTGCCTGTTCCAGCAGTTTGTTTTAGCATTCATAATGAGTCTAACACTCTAATCTATTTACACTCAGTGTTTTGTACTGTAACATTTCTGCATACATTCAATGGCACCGAACCCTGTCATTATATGAAAAGTAGTGCCGGAAAATTGGTGTGAAATCATTTGGTGGCAAACAAAAGAACATTGACTCTGTAACTGTACTGTTTGGTAGTTGTTTAGTTGGTCTATCATGTAATTGTGTTTAACATGTCCTCCTTATGCATTGTTTTCCCCACTTTCATTCTCCATATCTCACACAATCCTACTTTGATCATAGATGCATATTAGTGTAACCCAACCACATCTATGCAAACCTCCTTCCATTATGACTGTTGATGTGTGCCGTGGCAGCAGCACTGATTTAATCTGCTGGAGGGGGGAAAATTGTGCTTCAGTAGTTTTTCCTGCGTAATTTCAGCCGTTTCATGAGCAATACCTCCTCACAGCTCATGGCGTCTTAGACATCTCCTTTGTTTAGAAAGTGAAGGATGTGATGAAAATGAATCTTACAGTATTGTTAGATTCAGAACTTCGCTCTGCCACATCGAGGATAAGTGAAAACAATAAAATCTATCCTCTTCTGCGTTTCTCCATTAATGTTGAAGCTGCTTGTTATGCTTCGTTTGGGAATAACTCCACTGATGCAAGTACTTAAAGTGTTTCTCACCATGCCGTTACATCCGTTTGTGTCTTTTAAGTTTACATGTTTTTTCTCTGGCAAAAGTAAAATGAAATCATAGCTAAAAAAATAATTCATTCCTTCAAATTGAAAACTGATGTATTTATAATTAATGACAATAATGACAGTTGTGATGAGTAATAAACCGTAATATATTAAGTCATCAGGGTGTGTGGGTTTTTTTTCTTCCTCGATATGAGCAGTGATGAGGAATCATAAGACTAGGATAGATTACAAGAGATATTTATATATTGAAACAAGAAAAAGCAGCTTTTGTTTCTCATCGATTTAAGAGGGGTTAGAGGACAACAAACTAGAATGAAAGATTGTCAAGGAGGGAATATCAATGTATAGTTAAGTGACAGTGAACTGAGGAAGAGCCAGAGGTGGCATGGATGAAGATGTTAATTTTCTCTTTATGAGTGATTATGATGATAGATAGGATCAGGGATGAGTACATTAGACCCCTAGGGGGTCCACGGAGGTACTGCATGAAGGTCGCGAAAGTTTTGGTTGATGAAAATTTCCACTTATTGGAATGTCTTTAAATCCACATTAACATGAAACTAAAACTGTAGTAAACAGATAAATGGAGGCAGAAGATGTCTTTCAATCATCAATGCACACATTCAGCGACACACAGGAGCTCTTTCAAGCTGGACACAGTTTCATTCACAACACCTGTCCCATCAACCAGGAATGAGAATCAGAAATACTTTAATAACCACAGGGCGACATTACTTTTGTTGCATGACCCAATCTGTAATAGAGTGACTATAGGACCAGTTTGATATCACAATTTCTTACAATATATATAATTAGTGGGTCCCCGCTCCATCTCGCCATCAGTTTGGCGGTCCTTGGCCCTGGAAAACGTTGAAGACCCCTGCATTAGAGGGTTAACTCATTAGGAAGATGAAGCAAAACTGAGATGGATTTGACATGTAGAAAGAAGGGATAGTGAGTACATCAGTGGACGGATATTGAGACTGGAGGCTGCCAGATAAAGCCAAGGGGAAGATTTATAGAGGAAAAAACAAAAAAAAAATGCTATTTTTTTAATCTTTAAGTATCTTGTCAATTGAAAGAAAATTAACGTTGTTCATGTTATGCAGAAGACAAAGTGTGTATGGCAGCCTGATGCTACAGGATGTCCTTAACACCCTATATTAGATGCAGAATCATCTCCAAAGGTTCTAGAGCAGTCCCCAGAACAACCAGCCTTTATTTGATCAAATCACCAACTAGTATTTTCTGTGGCTATCAAAATATATATTGTTTAATTCCAGCGTCCTGTTACATGTTGAAGTGTCACAGGAGAGAAAAATCTTGTGATGCAAATGTTGGTTAATATGATGTTACGGGGATAATAGCTGCTTCTTTTCTTTCCTCTCTTTATTTATACGCACTTCCATCACTGCGTGGCCTTCCACATTTTTGAAATGCCCTTTGTTCCTGGTGTTAGTATTTTCTTCTATTAGATTCTGCACAAATAAATATGTTACAATGTTTGATGCAACATAACACTTGAAATATATAGGCGAGCAATTATTTTGCTCTGAGCAGTCCTTTATAAGTGTAGCACACATGGATATTAAAATGATATATGGCACAGCCTTCTATCAGTATAATTTTAGCAAAGATGAAAAGGCTTAATGCTATTAAATATTTTAAATCCTTTTACAGTAAAACATTTTTTTTCTCTTGAATGCTGTTTGGAATAGGCTGGAGGGGCTGAAAATAAATGTAAAATAATATAAAAACTAGCACATCTTTTATCAGTAAATTTAAATGAAATATTTTTTTACTGAAAAGATTATTCCTGAGCTCTAATTTTTTAAAATTATTTCTCAGTAATTATTTTAAAGGTTTTATCCTTCAAGATGTAAAAATGACAGTTTAAAATTAGATTTGGTTTAAAATGTAGATAGTCTATAGTGTTATTCTTAATTTTCTTTTCTATTCTAAATAGACTTATTTTAATAATGAATTCTTGTGCTCTTAGAGAGGAATACTTGGCAGGTCAGGTCATTTAAGTTTCTACCGTGCCTTACAGAGCCACTGAACAAGCACACATTGTAAAAAAGCAAAGTGGTTTTATTCACATTTTTGTCCCTTTATTCATTACAGAGGAAAGGCATTGAAGGTTAGTTACTGGATCTCAGACCGCTTATGGAAAACAAGATGATTCAACGAAAGCAGGAAGGAGTGGAGGGAAGGAAAACGAAGACGTTAATGTTTTCTTTCGTCCCGTTCTCCCCATTCCTTCAGCTGGTTATTTTCACTTTTCAAGAAAGAAAAACACTGGCATCGCTTTAAGGATGCAACCTTAAATACTCTCACTCCTCTCACTGCTTACAAGCAAAAGGACGTTCTCATACTTTAGAATAAAGTCCTTATGTTTGGCAAGCCCCTCTTAAATAACCTGTTCTCTTCTCAGATACTGAGGGAAAGGCTGAGGTGACGAGGCAGACAAGAGTGAAAAGGAAACAAAAGAGGTGGTTTGAGTAAATCTTGATGTTGGAAATGATGTTACAGGATAATTTTATTGGAAAAGAAATCATCCCTATTCCCCATAAGCAAACATAGACACCCCATGGGCATCAACCGTGCCAAGTCTTTGGTTTGAACATGAATGGTTGAGCTTGTGGGTTTACACAGAAGGTGAGCAGGAAGGAAGAAGATGAAAGAAAAGGGGGAAGGTAGAAAGCAGAGGGATAACTGTCTTTCACGTCTTCTTGAGTTCTCTTTACTCCTCCTTCTCCTCTCCGTGTGTGATGACGTAGCAGATGTTCTTGTAGTCTACGTTGCCGGCCACATCTGGGGGGAAGGCGGCCCACATTCTCTTGATCTGCAAAGGAAAGCCAGTGCTTCAAATTCACCATATCAGACAGTAAATACAGATCCACAGCATTTATTATGAAAATAGAGAATTTTGAATTCCCATTAACAAGTCTCAAAGAAACAAACAGACTTTTTGAAACCCTTTTCAAGCTTCTAGTACCTTTTCTAGAGAAAACTATTATAGTTCAGTTTAACTGTTTGCTGGATGTTCAGCAAATTATGTAATATTAGACAGGGCTCATACTTTAACATGTCCGCTTGTTGGAAAACTGTCACTCAAAAAGATTTGGTTGTTTACATTACATGTCCTCCTGGGTGAACAAAGGCCTGCTAAACATGTTTTATGGTCAGATGAGTGAATAGTTGAGCTTTTTTCTCATGCTCAAAGGAGGCTTTTTTAGAGAAGTTGAGGTGCTGACCACTGTTACAATGTGTCAAGCACAGATGTGGCAGTATTTGGCTGGGGACTTGTTTCACAGCAGTGTTACTGGTGCACTGCAAAAAAGGAGTGAGGTAATGAAGATTTATATCCTTCTTTAATATGACTGTTTTCTACAAAAATATAACCATAATTATATCAAAAGCGTATTAATGGCTGCAAAGAGCCTCAGGCCAAGTTCAAATTCTCAGAGGGAGGTTAAACCAATTACCACGTATTTATATCTATATTTTAGACCCAATTCTTGTTTTTATAATAAACTAAAATGCTTTTATATAACTATCTCACCATAAAGCATTCTCATTAAAAGCACCAAATGAATATGTCATCAGTGGCAATGATGAGCGCTCATGATAACCTCATGTCTGGCATGTTTTATCAACCGACATGACTGAGTACAAGCAGTGAGCTTACGTCATCTGCGGAGAACCTGTCGCACTGAGTGGTCAGGAGCTCCTCAAGGCTGCAAGAGACAAAACAAAGTAATGAAAGATTTAAAAATTTTTCTTTTTGTGTAGAAATGCATAGTGGGTAAAAAAAAAAGAGGGGTTCTCACAATTCCTTCTTGATGCTTCCGGTACCCTCAGGGTCCAGGACTTTGAAGGCAGAGAGAATAACATCCTCGGGATCAGCGCCTGATAAGAAAAAAGGGTTTAACTTGTTCTGGAAAGTCTGAAGCAGCGCGCCAAATGTTTTGCCCGTTTTTGTCCCACCAAAAAAAAAAAACGGGTACCCACCCTTCAGCTTCTCTCCAAACATGGTAAGGAAGACGGTGAAGTTGATTGGGCCGCTGGCCTCCTTGATCATGGCCTCCAGCTCCTCATTCTTCACGTTCAGTTGACCTTTATAGAGGAAATAAGCCAATTAGCACAAGAGGCCGTAGTAAAAAAGCCACACTGGTATCTGTCTGTGTTTAAATAACAGCTCACCCATTGAGGCCAGCACGTCTCTGAGGTCGTCTTTGCTGATGATGCCGTCTCTGTTCTGGTCAATGATTGTGAAGGCCTGCAAAGCCAAGAATGAGTTTACTACTTGGACACAAAAAGAGCTCTTGATTCAAAATGATTTGCATGCCAAAGTTTCAATGCATTTTAAGTGTATTGTGTATAATATACGTAACCAGAGAGCAAAGACTGGGCAATTGCTGGGTTGAAGAAATATTTTTTTTTTGTACTACATTCTTTTTACATTGATGATAAGATCTACTGTGACTAAATTACTTTAGAATAAGCTAATTAGAAAACAGAGTCAAGAATTTGGCCCGATTTCAAAACTACAAACATATGGTCCTCCAGCTATACAAGGGTTTAACCACCAAGAGAGCTGCAAGACAAATGACAGGGCAAAGAGGGTCAACGATCTGTCCCTTATGGAAAAGAAGCCAAAGTAACAAGTCATATGGAGAAAAAGAAGGAGCACTGTTCACTCAAATTTGGTTAATTATAGATACCCCACATTCAATCTGACAATTTAAGCAACATTTTCTTACATCTAGATGTGAGGTGCTTACATATCCCAAAATGCCTTGCAGTTGTTATTTAAGCAAAATGTTTTTTTTCTTTCATTTGTTGAATAGAAAAAATATCTTCCTTTCACTTTACAGTCATGTTCCGCTTTTTGTTTTTCTATAAAAAACAAGCAAATGAATTAGCAGGTTTGAATAGGTTTGAAGCGCTTTGCTTCCTAAGTCAATTGTGTTTAAAGTTGCAGTGGGGAAGTAACTTTCACAGAGGCTCCACCCAAAATGTCAGACTTGGCCTTGATGATTCGAGAGAGGACTGAACCCCGAGTCTTTTCTTACAAGTTAATTTGGGAAAGTATCATGGGGGAACAGCTGCCCAATCCCTCCACGGTGTGCCAGTGTAACTTAAGAAACCTCTCAGGCCTGAACTTAGCAACCAACCTTCTTCTTCACCCTCTGGGCTCGCTTTTCTATTTCTTACCCTTCCTCTTTTACACACAGAGACGCTCAACCAGGCTGTTTATGTGCTGATAGCTGCACATGCTTGCCTCTGGTGGGTACCTTTCCATCTCTGGAACGTGCTAAGATCATCGCAATCATCACACCATATTTCCATTTAGTGCCACTCAAGAAGCCTGGATCGTTTGTCACAGAAGGTATGATTTCCATTTTGGACTTGAGCGGCATCTTCATCCGATCTGCCAACAGCAGTTCTTATTTCCAATCTCTATTACTCATTTTCCTAAATACACTGAGTCAATTTAGTGTAACTTGATGCTAAATCTTTCTAAAAATATTGCAAACCAGACACCTCAATTAGTGCTGTTTGTTTCTGTACTTGAACGTGGGGGTACAGTCATTCTGTTTGTCTTGGCCAGCTGTAACAGAAAGCTATGAGATGTTTGAATACCAGCCGAGCAGGAGGTCAAAGGTTGGGCAAAATATGGAGAGCTTGAAATGCTGCGACAATTTCAGTGCTTCATTTAATGACATTCACCTGCTTATTAATCTGTCAGGGGAGCAGAGGAGGCATGCAAGTCAGCAACTGTTGTGAAAACGGATCAGATAGCAGCTAAATCTGATGGCAAATTAATTCAAACGCATTTGATTTAAATCATACAACACATTTTTTCTTTTTTTTATTGTGTGTGTGATTCAAATACATTTTTCTTGGTTAAAACATTACCTCTTTGTACTCCTGAATCTGGCTCTGCTCAAACATGGAGAACACATTAGAGGAGCCGCCATCTCCTGCTGCTGCCCTCCTCTTGGCCTTCTTTGGTGCCTGGATGGAAAACACAGAAAGCATTTAAAATACTAATAAGAAGTTACCACCACTCATTCATTTGATTCTTTACCAAAACAATCCAGCAAAAAAATTATTTTCCTCTTACTTAAAGTGTTTAAAAAATTCAAAACAATTCCATGGTTTCTTTTTTTAACTTAACGCTTCGACAAACGGTAAAGCACCCAAAGCTTTAATTAGAAACTGCCTTTAAAGATCTAAATTACTCTTCACATTAAAATTCCTTGGAGAGAATTGCATGTTTGAACCACAAATATTAAGATGGATTATTGTCTATTAGCATCTTCATATTAGTTTATGTTTTCATATCAATAGTTATGGCATGCAATATACAAGTAGATAAAGTATACTATTGTGGACAAAGAGATTCAGCAGATAAGAGCGTCAGCAAACATTAATTATCCTTAAATAAAATAAAAATAAAAATTAATTTAAATAATTAAATTTAAAATCAATATAAAATTGAGAAAAATCAAAGTAAATCCAAAGTTGTTGTTGAATTCCTATCCAGATATGTCCTTCAGCAGAGCACAGGATGCAGGAACCCCGGTACTCACCATCTTGAGATGCTGAGGGTGGAGGTTTGGATGATCAAGTAAGAACAGAAATTGTGAAGCCGCGTTGCACCTATATTCCCGGGGGCTTATATACCCCTCCTTAGGCGTGTCTATCTTTAGCCTCAGCTTCAATTTTGGATGGCGATATAAGAGAGAGAGAGAAGGGTGGGAGAGAGAAAGGTCGGTGGTAAAGGGATGGGAAAAGCTAAGGAGACAGAATGGCGGAACAGCTATCACCTTACAGCAGATCAAAAATAGACCCAAGAGTCTTGGAATTAAGTAAACCCGATAGCTGCGGGACTATGCACTCCCACGTGGACTAATAAGGATATTCAGAACATAGATGCTTAGTTGGATCATTGGACACTGCCCCCCCTCCTCCAACTGCTTAAAGAAAGATACAGTGGCCACTCTCTGGCTTTATTTTTGGTTTGTGATCCACGTTGAGATTTTATATTTTATGCACTTAGGGACTGATGCAGCTTTTGGCCTGCATGTGCAGAGCTTGACTGTCTTTATGAAGCGGAGATTTTCCCACACAAGAAATGACAACATGGTCTTCTGCAGGAGCAAAATGCATTGCAGTATTAAGATTTTCCGTATGAAAATAAATTAAAACAACAAAAAGAAAAATAATGATTAAAAAAATTATTTAAAGCTCATTAAGAACATAGATTTTTTTAAATTAACATGTATTTCTGATTTGATATCAAAGTGTTTACATATTTCTATGAAACTTCCCTTTCCTTATTTAAAAACTATCTAGTAAATATAAGCTCTGCATTAAGATAACAGTTCAGCAGTTAGATTAAAAATTTTTCACCTTTTTAAGCGAGAACTGGATAATTCAAAACTGTTGCTATATTCAGCTTCAACATTACCCTTACTGCCATAATGTAAGTTTGATCATTTTTGATTACAAATAAATCAAAATAAAAAGAGTGTGTTAGGGTAATAAAGATTTAAGTATAAAACCTTATAAAAGTCTTGTAGAATGCTTTCAAGTGGGAAACTTTAGGCAGAATGTTAAAAGAAATAAATTCAAGACATGCACTAATTATGATGAAGAACTTTATTTTCTTTAATCTTTTGCGTCCGACAAAAATTAATGCAAACATTTCTTATTTTCAACAGAAAGTCCTCAGGTTTAAATGAACCAAAACATGCCTGATAAGTGTCACCGCTGTAAAATATGGTCTCGTTCTTCTCTGCAAAGGTGTGTTTGGATATGAAGACTTCCCCACCTGTTGCCCCCTCCTCTTTGCTCCGTCTAGCCTTCATATCCCCCCACCCCCTACTTAAACAGGGGATTACTTAGCAGTGCAGGGGCTGCAGACCCTCCCTCTGTGCGGAATATAAAAGGGACAGCTGAGGGTAACCAGAATAGCAAAATAAACTTGATTGTCTGCCAGCAATTTTACCCGATAGTAAAATGTCTCCCTTCATATGTTTTTTGAAGGTTTTTGCATCCACAATGACCTCAGAGATAATCAGTTTTTAATTTCCTTTCCTACTTGTTTAAAACTGCTTCATATTATGTTTTATTCCTTTTGCGGTTTCTTGAATATGTGTTATTCCACTGATATCTTTCTAAACAACATGATGGGCCATGTCTCTGTTCTTCACTGGTTTTAGCTCCTGCTGTAATTTAGATTAACCAGTGTGGTGTTAGAAATCCTGTCAGTCACCCAGCCTTTTCTGCTGATATGAAGATGTCACATAAAGTTGGATCACCGTGGCAAGCAGGAAAATGAGCTGTCAATAAGATATATTTATATAGCCATTATATAGTAGGATTTTGTTTTTCACAAAACAAGTCTAAAGGAATTAGGGAGAAGTCATTTAAAGCAGTATTCTAGGAGAATTTGATTAAAATCAGTTGTCTGACTATAATACATCTTTATGAAAACTAAGAAACAGTGAAGCTTTAGTTGATGGCTTCATAGTTCTACAAGCGGATGATTAAAAAAAAACAGGGATCTACCACCCAATGCAAGACTATGAATAGAGGATGTGTTGAACAAAGGGGGTTAAAGAAGAAAGTCAAACACTGGGAAGATTACAGAGAAGGATCATCCTGCAGTGAGAGGATGGAGGGACATAGGAGGATGCTTGTTTTAGCAATTGTTGTGCACAAAATTATAAGATGATAACTTTTTACTTATTACATGTTTTTAAAATACCTTCAAAAAATACTGACTGGACCTTTTTGATCCTGTGTTTATATAAGTGACATTTCTATTCAAGAAAAGCTTTAGAAAAGAGCATTTTAGGGAAAAATTTAACTTTATGTCTAACTTTTGTTGACCTAATCATCTATATCAGGGGTCACCTACCTTTTTAAGGCTGAGGGCTACTTCATGGGTACTTAGTCATAGGAAGGGCTACCAGTACTGTTCTGTTAACTTGATGGGTCAGTGATTGCCTAAACTTCACAGATAATTAACAAATTTTTAATGTTTTATTTTATTTCTAACCTTCTTTTAGATATTGTAATTTTAAAATCTCTATTAATGGTTAAATGCTCTATCTGATTAATATGATAAAATGCTCGATAAAGCATAAAAAACAGAGAGCAACAGAATAAAATACATTATCAAACTTAACCCACTGGTGAGTTCTTCTTTTTTCAGTGTAGTCTAGGTCAGTCTAGATCACTGATCTAGACTGACCACAGCATAAGTGCTAGGAAAGAGGGAAAGTGGGAGAATGCATGCTTCTTATTTTACAGATCCTTAGTGCAATTTATGCTGAACAGAAAGATTATCATATCAATATTTGCATACTGTACAGGAAGAACAGGATTATTGCAAACAGAAAGACCCTGGGAATGGATTTAAACCTACAACCTAATTGGTTTAAGGTGAAAATGCTAAAAACATTGCTGCTTAAATTTTTCATCTGATTATCATCTATTGTATTTTTTGATTATTATTCTTTTTTCTTTCTCTCTCTTTCACAGTTGGCAAAAAAAGAAATGTTCCTCTTATTGCATTTTTCAGTTTACATGTTAGAAATGTTAGAAACTAGGTTATGTTTATTTAATGCTTCTGGTGTATTTTTTTTGGGTATTCTTTACATGCAATGTAAAAATAACATCTTTAAAAACAGAGGAGAGGGAAAAAAACAAAACCCCAGACTTCTCATAGACGTATAAACTGGACGCTTCATTATTTCAAAATGTTTACATCCGACATTAATGAGTGTTTCCATACAGATGTGTGCTTACTACAGAGGCTGCTGCTGTAAGCTGACACCTCCCTCCAGTCCTCTAAAACCATCAATCATTTTCTAGACGATTGGTATGTCTCTCTTTAGGGCCTGGAATGTAAAGAAGCTCCCAGGTTGACCTATGGGGAAGACTGACGGAGAGAAGAGAGGGGACATCCGGATTTATTACACCATGTTCAGCTTTTACTTAGATGACTCAGCAGTATCAGTGACTCACAAAACTATACACATTTTACACACTATAGTCAAGTTTTTTTTATTAATCAATCCAAAACATATTTCTATAAATATACAGTGACATTTATCCTTTGCAATTTGAGTGAAGGCTTTAAAGGGACCCAGTTATTGACACTTCCCTTGGTTTGATTTCCATCTCTGCATTTGGTTTCTGTCATGATCTTTGGATATAAGATTTTCCTTTTCAATTATCATTACTTCTCTTAGTTATTCTGTCCTATAAGGTATTACCAAAAAATGATTAATTTCTCTCTGCTAATTATATCGAAAGATGTTGTTTCCCTCTGATTATCACAACAGCTTCCATATTCATTCTTCAGACTTCCATATTTAAAGTGTAACTCACCCCCAAATCCAAAATTTTAAACAGTGTAAACTGGATCTTTAAAGGTGCTCCTTTAGTGTTACTGTGCATCCTTTTACACAATCTTGTGACATTTTTATTTCAGCAATATTTGTCTAGAAATTACCTCATCGCTGTCAAAGGGGTTAAACTGTGGCTATTTCAATTTAATTCCCTTATTGGTTCAAACCACTAATTCGTCACCATGGGTGGTTTGGATAAAAAGGCTGCCTGCTCAGACATAGGCCTACGTAGAATATTTATGTCCTCTGCTGCCTCAGCAGTGCCATCTTGAGGCATCGCTGAGTCATTGCCTTGAACCAGGTAGCTCAAAATGATAAGGCTTTGGCACTCTGGGCTCCCAAAAAAACTTCCCCAACCTCCAGTAATGAGGGAGAAGAAATTTACTCCATTTTAAAAGATCTATCGATGGCATAACCACTGTACCAGCATCCTTCTGCTCACTTATGCTTCATGGCTAATTGTCCTGACCACCCATCCCTCCACTTCGCTCAAGTCCCCCACCCAGTGCTACCTCTCCAGATCTCTTGACACTGACCAATTACATCGCATTTTTCAAAACTTGTCTCTGGGTGGAGTTATGCTATTAGACCGGGATGAATTTCACTTTAAGTTCACTGTTGGCTATTGTTCCCTTTAGACTTTCCGTTATTCTCCTAGTTTTATTGCTGCCGACTCTACTTGTGCTTTATGAGCTGTTCTCCTCTTCATTATGCTCATCCCACGATCCTGTTTTATTATGATCTTGCAACCTGAGCCACATGAAAGTTAGTGAATGTTCTCCATGTAGATGAATGGCTTTTACGCTTGGTATGTCATGATTTTAATCAAGAGCTCGGACCCACATGCAGAAAACTAATACAGAGAGACCAGGGGAAAGTTTAACAGGTTTATTGTGAAGATTGTGATGAATCCAATGTAGCTCTGAACACTGCTCAACCGGAACTGGAAAGTGAGGGGAAGATACTGCGGTTAGTTCAGGCTCAGTGGGAAATTTGATTCTTGAACTTGAAGAGGAGAAATAGATTGTAGACTCACGTTTCCAGAAAATGGTTGACTCTTTGACTCCAGTCGGTGTGGGGTGTTCAAGTGTTTGTCTCATTCGATGGAGGGTGGACAGGGTTTACCCAGAATGCGGTTGTTTGTATGGAGGAGCTGACTGCCACTTAGATTTCCTGCGGTACTTCAACGGGTTGTTGTGGAGATGAATCCCCTGCTCAGAGAGAAGCCCCAGACATTCCTTGGGGAAATGGGTTGATCAGAATCACACCCTTGAATCCTTAGCTCAGCTTGATTCTCAGAAGATCCTTCCAGGGGAGAGAAGGTCCAAAACATCCAGTTGCAGGATGACTTCCTGCCGAGAGGCAAAGACAAAACAACAAGGTTAAAACTCATGGAGACAAAAACTCAGTTTGACTCAGCAAAACTCAGCTTGGCTAGAGTACCCAAAACTGGCAAACACTCTGGCATCAAGGTAGTGGCAGTCAGCAGCTTAAGAGCACTCCGTTAACGAGGTAACCCTTGTGAGGAGGTGAACCAGGACCAGGCGCCGCCTGGTGGAGGAAGGAAGACAAACACACAAAACACAAACCACACAGACAGGAGTCCTAACATGGTAAAGCTCAAAAAATTACTCTAAGATTAACTGGGCATGCTATGTCAACCTTAGGTGTGAATGTGTGAATGAATGGTTGTTAGACCTGTTTCTCTGTTACCCTAAGATACAGTGAAAACCGGCCACAGTGTACCCGCCTCACCTGATGACCACTGGAGGTTACCATAGACAGACAAAAAGATTTTTAGAACAAAAAATAAAATGTATCTACTAAAAGAAAAATGCAAGTAGTATTTATCTAATTGAAGAAATGGGCATTTCCTGTAGATAAATACCTCAATTGTAAAACCATTAAATTTGACAGAGATAGACTTTTGCCAGAAGCTCAGTCTTTGTCTCACTTCATCGAAGAATAAAGGTTTAGTTAAAGTCCAAGCAGAGTGATGCAAACTTTCCACATCTGATCTTAGCACGATAATTTCTAAGAAAGAAAACTTTATGGCTTCAAGATGTTTGTTGCAATTCTTTTAAAGTAAGCTTAGAAGGTTTTTTCTTATGTCTCTCACCATCCTGTGGCTGTCCATGGTGGCAGGACAAATATGGGCCTATGTCCAGACCTATGATATGTGTCTAAAAAAAGGTAGTCTGTGTTATATTTGACCCTAGAAACGGGAAGTCACTGATAAATGATCATGAGCTCATCGAAACTCTGCTTAACATAAAGAAGGGTTGGATTTCATAAAAGTTTTCATTTTTTTATTTGCATTCATTCAAAAAAAGGGCTATTAAACATACCTATCTTCTTGGCAAATGGGACTTTCTTGAAAGCCTTTTTGTTTTCAGTTTGTTTAAAGTGAATAAACTATCAAATCAAGGGTGTAATTATTCTGCACCAGAGTAAAACTACTAAAACAAAACATTGATTTATTTTAACACATTTTAGTCATCTTTGCTGGGATCCATCTTGATCATTACTTTGCTTACATCTTCTTTACAGAAGAATACTGGGATCCTGCTTAAACATAGTGACTGAATTACAGTGTGGTTTTACTCCTGGAAAACAGGAAGCCATGGTGTAAAAATGAAAATAAATAAATAAAATAAAAAATAGAAATAGATCAATTTCGAAACTAAGTTAACTGTTTAGTTGGATAAATTTCATAGGAATGATTAGTGCCACTTATTGAATTAACACCGTTGAATCAGGGTTGTATTTCAGATTATTCATTATTCATTAACTTAGAATACTGTTACTTGAAAACACAAATTTTAACTGAATGGTTAAAAAAACCTAGGTGAGGTTTAAAACTTTTTCGCAGCGCTGTAACAGGCCTTTAATATATACACTAGCAGCTTAGTTAGTTCTCATTTTTAATTAGTCTGGGTTAACCACGTCTGTGTTTAACTTCCGTAGCAACACTGTTTCATTTAAATAAAGTTTGTGTTTGCTGCATCTTACTCTTCACAGACATGAAATACGTTTTCTTTTTCATTTTCACTCTAGAATCAAAAGGTTATGGTGTAATTGTGTGGATAAAGAAAGAAATACTCTAAACAGAAGCTGCATTTAGTGGTTCTATATTTCCCTTATCTTGTCCCTGCAGCTCCATCTACTGGTCTCCACCTTAGATGGAACGTCAGCGAGTTTTTCTAAACTAAGTCCAAAATGCCACCTTTAACTGCATTTCCCCAAATGATTTCCTCACAGCTTTAGGTAAGGGCTCAGTTAATCTCTATACAGCTCAAACACTTTCAATTAAAAACATATTGTTTGCTTTTTGAAAAACAGATAAGAAATAAATACTTGTTGCTAATAATGTCTCCATCTTCTTTTTGTTTTTAAATAATTTTTTTGCCTCAAACTTTGGACCTTTGACATGCAAGCATCAGTTATTTATGGACAAAAGCAATAGCAACTTCATGGAATAATCTATCTTGGTCCTGAATGACGATATGTGAATGGGGTGGTATTACTATCGTAAAGTGGTGCCATTAGGCAACAGCAGTGGAAAAAAAATTGCGTTACCACAACAGAAATAATTTACTCCAGTCAGTTGCTGGGGCACCTGACAGTCAAAACAGTAACTTATGATCATGATTTTAGTTTTTATTTTCCCAAACAACTTATTATGCAATTGGCTTTCAACTCAATTGGTAATAAAATTATGGATCAATCCCAAAATTTGCAGAAGTATTTTTGAACATCCAAACATACTTAACACTGCTTGGTAAATACTGCAAAGAAAGAACAGAGAAGACACATTTAACCTGCCTTTAAAGAGGTGCAAATGCACCAAACACACTTTCTGCTTCCTATATCTAACAAACACAGCTATGCAAACACATCACATCACATCAGCCCTTTCATACATCTAGTAAATGTTTTAAACTGTTTAACACTGAACATAAAATGGGTATCAGAGCATAAACCAATGAAAGTCTGCACAGTAAAACTCAATGCTTCAGTTAAGGTTTAGTTCCTGTTTGACACTCGTGAATAACTTATATCAGTTCCCTTTATAAAGGTTTCAGTCCTTTTTTCATTTTTTTTTTTAGCCCAGATCGATAAGATCTTTTTCACTGTGGTTCTCCTCTGTTTGTCGACTCCTCAGCCACTCTTCTCTTGCATTTTGAACCTCCTTGCCATAATAGGCATGCAGTTTGCTAAACTCCACCAGTGGATCAGACCCCACCAAGGGCCATTCGCCATATAGCGGTGCAGGCCCGTTAAGTGGTGTCACATAAGCATTTCTCCTCGGCCACTTCTTCGGGGACTTTTTACCTGTCACTTTAGTTGGTAGTGAGCGTGGCGGTAAAGCAGCAGTGGCGCTAAAGCTTCTCCCCTCCCTGACCGCTGCTGAGGGGCCAAGGGTCGGTACCAGCAGGCTGTTTGTTGGTGGACAAAGGGATTTGAAAGAGGAGCTGGGGACATTAGATTCTTGTTGCTGTTTAGCCTCTGCAGAAAAAAGAAAACATAATTAAAAAGTGTTGCTCTAAGCTTTTTAGAGGGATATTTTAGCATGTAGTTAGGGATTTATTATTTTCCCATATCAGCACAATATTGAAAACAATGAGAATCTTTAACATAATCCCTGGACATTCCTGTGTAGTCCTGTAAAAAAAAAAAAGTACCCTTATAAATAACGAAATAAAGCTGAATATAGCTGACATTTTTCATGATGTCCTTTGTTGGGGGTGTTGTAATTACCATGCAAACCTTACTTTGCTCATGTCGCAAAAACCTACCAGTCCTGTTTAATATCAGGCAACAACTGCATCTCTATACTGCAAAAACAATTTAGAAAATAAGTAAGGCATTCTTAAATAAGGTGTATTTACCCTTGATTTAAGTAGTTAAATAAGATGATTGCCAATGGAATTAGTATTTTTACTCTTAAAATAAGATAATTAGATAACATTGCATTAAAATAAGACAATGCAATTCTTTTTTCTTATTTTAAATGTAAATTTGTCTTTGGCCATCTCACCTCCTCAAGACAAAATGCACTTATTTTAAGAAAATAAAAACGTATTTAGATTTCATTTTTTTTTTTTTTTTTGAGTGTGTGTTGTAAAATAGCACAAGTAAAATAGTAATCAGGCCTCAAATTAATCTAAAAAAAATAGTCAGCATGTTATTTATTTATTTTTTTTTTTACAAGGCAGCCATATTAAATAATAGTCAACACTGGCAGAAAACCTTGTTTTGGTCTTTCATAGTTGTGATTCTTATTCCTGAGGGATGATCCAGATAATATTACAAAATTAAACCTGAAATATTCCTACTTCTTAGATCAAATTAATAGCATGACTTATTTCCAGCTTTGGAAGATCAACTTAACATCTCCCGATGCTGTTGGAAATCCAATATGGCTGCATTAGACATAACAAGTTGTGATATCTGCATTACTAAGCTTTTCTTTTTGCACTTTGCCAGTTCGTGCAACATTAAATTGTTTGCATACATAAAACTATACATCTATAATTTATGAGTGAAAAGGAAAAATGGTATTTTGCAAATAAGCTTGCAAGGGCTGATATCTTGTAGCTTGATCTCACTGTTAAACTAAAAGCAAACAAAACAAAAAACAACAGTAAATCCTGTCATAGTTACAACTTGGACTCTGACTGCTAATAAAAAAAAAATCCTGATATTTTAAATGGGGAACCTGCATATTTGGATCATTGACTAGCAATGACTGAAGGAGGTAATTATGCTTAAAATATCAAACTGGAAAAGTCTAAAGACCAAAATAAATATATAGTTTTATTAAAACTATATATTTTTTATGAATAAAAAAAGAAACAGTGAAGAGAGGGATTGAAATAATACAGCAAAAATGACCCATAAAAAAATCAATAACCTACATAAAGTTCTGACGCACCTTCATACTGCCTCTCCAGGTCTCTCAGCAGACAGGACAGATAACAGTGGCTGGCCAGGAACAACGCTTTCATCCAGCGCCCCTGAGTCTGAGCATCTCCTGCAGCAAACCTGTAGGATTTAAATCCAGCTCCAAACTCCAGGGAGAAGGGAAAATACCCATCAGACTCCAACATCTGAACCGTGCACCCCTCCAACACGATGACTCCCATAAGGTGTCGATCAGCAGGACGCTCCTGGTAGAAGAGCAGGTTAGCTTTCAGGACAAACCACCGTCGATGATAGGTACCATTTCTCTCCTTCTGTGAAAAAAGAGAAAAATAAAGGAAAAATGTTTTTCATATGATTAAAAGCTGATCCGAGGTTTGAATTTGATTGTATTCCAGAACCTTTTTATAGAGATATCCCTCCTTATCCACCGGAGAGGTGCAGGATAGAAAATGGGTCAGAATCTTCTCATTGAGCTTCATCCTGGCTCCTAAAAGACAGAAAGTGTGCTTCCACTTGATGTATTTGTAGCAGACAACACTATTGCTTTTCAACCCAGAGATGGTTTGAATTATAAAAATAGATTTTTAATACAATAAGCTTACACATGTCTGGTAACAGTCAGAACTATTTAATGATTATCAAATAAATAAAAATGTTCCCAATTCTGAAAAGTAAAGATTCAGAAGTTGCAATTAGTCTCACATTGTTTGGGGACGGCTGCAACTCTGTTTTTAAGAATAGTTGCTTATTATTTTATTTATTTTTTAATATTTTTTTAGATAAAAATGTGTCATCTGATCAGTTTTGATCAGATACCAACTTTATTTTAGTCTAAATGAGTAGGCCTTATATGCAGATGTCAACGATTCACAGTGATATGATAAAATGGGCTTTTAGTAACTGGGAGAATTGAACAATGGATTTTTATTTTGTAAATTGTCAGTACAGGCATTAATTGTGCAAAATGTAACTGGGCCTCAAACCTCATTGTAGAAAACCACAACAGTCGACTATATTATATATAAAACTATAAAATAACAATGAAAATCCCATTATCTACATTGATACTGTATATGACAGCTATATAATAGCATCTAAAAATATTACTTCATTATTAAAATTTAATGTAAATATGTTAAAAAATATTAAATATTAAAATTTGTATTTATATGTGTGCTCAGACTATTTGCTGGATCCTAGTCAGCACATGAGCACACAGCTGTGGTTTATATGTGTATATGGATACTGACATATGCACATATAAACCTAGTGTCTCTGCCCTAAGCTGATGGATGGCATTATGTTGAGGTAAGATCTGATGAAAAAATGCTTACAATACTGTTTTGTGATTTATTTTATATTAATAGGGACATTTGTGAAATCTGTGGATACCTTGACCCATACATGCACTATATTTACAAATATATTGCTCACCCATTCAAATTATTTGAATCAGGTTTTCCAATCACTTTCATGGTCACAGGTGCATAAATCAAGCACCTAGACATGCGGAGCATAGTTAGAAATATTTGTGAAAGAATAGGCCACTTTTAGGAGCTCAATAAATTCCATTGTGGAACTGTGACAGGAAGCCACCTGTGAAACAAATCCAGCTGTTAAATGTCCTCCCTAGATATTCCACAGTCTGCTCTCAGCTGTATCATATGTAATTGGAAGTGTTTGGGAACAGCAGCAACTCAAGCCACGAAATGTCAAGTTAAATAAACTGAGGGTGACGGTCAGTCTATGCTGAAGCCATAATGCAAAGATGTAGCCAACTTCTGCAGAGTCAATCACTGCACACCTCTAACTTTCATTTGGCCTTCAGATTAGCTCAAGAAGAGGGAGCTTCGTGGAATAGGTTTCCATGTCCAAGCAGCCTCATCCAGGCCATACATCACCAAGTGCAATGCAAGGAGTTGGATGCAGTGGTGTAAAGCACGCCACCTCTGGACTGTCACAGCATTCTGCCAAATGTAAATATTTCTGGAGTGGGGGTTATGTGTGTTTTTTTTTTTTTGGGGAGCTGGGCTTGGCTCAGAATGCCTCTGTATACAGAAAGCTTTTGCGTCAGAGCACAAAGAAAGGTCCATAAAGGCATGGATGGCAGAGTCTGACGTGGATGAAGCGGACTGTCCTGGACTCAACCTGATAGGAAACCTTAGGGATGAATTAGAGCGAAAACTCAGAGTCAGGCCTTCTCGTCCAACATCAGTGTGTCACCTCACAAATGCACTTCTGGCAGAATGGTCAAATAATCCCAAAGAAACACTCCTAAACCTTGGGGAAAGATTTCCCAGAAGAGCTGAAGCTGTTCTAGCTGCAAAGGGTGGACTGATGTCATATTGAACCCCCATGGATTAACAATGGGATTAACAGCTCAAATGTGAGTCAAGGCAGATAAAAGAATACTTTTGGCAATATTGTGTCTTTAAAGATTGAAAGCTGATTAATTCTTAAAGGAAAAAAAAATATCTGGTAAAGCACATTGATAATTTCCCAACTTTGACAAGACGCATCCTTTTAAACTCTTAAAGTGAAATAAAGATTTTGCAACCATTCCCTGCTGAAACTGCCTCAAGTTGCCCCATACATTTAAAGTGTTCCATATTACGACACTGAATATTTTCAAACATAATTTATAAGAACTGTTTTTTTTTTTATTCCCCATATCAACATATTGTTAACAATGTTGTGCCTTGATGAAAAAAAACCCAACCCGTTAATCTAAGCTTTTATTGCTTTGCTTCATTTCTACAATAAATTAAAAAGTAACATATTTGCTCTTTTGTATTTTGTTCCGGTTTTTTTTGTAATTATGATCGTCATGTTTAATGTTTGATTTATTAAACATGTTTTGTTTCTATAGCCCTATCTATAAATTTCAAATCACTCCGATTTTCTTTCTTTTGCTCCAACAGAAATGTCAATTTCTTCTTTAAAATGTGTTCCTTATCAGTGGCAGATGTTTTTTTTATTTAATCTTTAGTTTATTTTAAACTTGTCTGCAATTTTAGTCATACTTTCCCACCCCCTGTTCACGACTATGTCATTAAAGGATAATTTGAAGGATTTAAAGAATAAATTAATAGTAAACATATACGTTCACACCAATATATATGCAGGTTTTGCTTAGTTTTAAGATTCTAACCAAATCCATTTCTTTTTACAAGCACTAAAGCACGTCTAACTTAATCTGACTAAATGCTATAATGATTCAACTGTTAAAACTGGGATGTAAAAAAAAAACAAAAAACATATGCTGCAAGTTGGTATATTTTTGTATATAAATATATATATATATATATATATATTTATTCAGAACATATGTCCAAATAAAATCTACATCCAATGTACAATGGGGTCTTTTTTTTCTTACCGTATTTTTGGACGCTCAAAAGAACAAAAAGGGACAACAAAAACAACCCCACCCACTCTCTCTATGTAGCAACACATGTACATGGTAGTAGTATTATATTAAGCATTAACCATATTTTTGAAAGGTCAGAATTAAGAAAAAAGGGCATAACAAAAATATTGGAATAATTGAAACACAGTTAAGATCAATACTCATCAGTCTTCAGGTCTAATCTGGTTAGAATGTCCAAGAAGGGACTCCATATCCGGTCAAATTTAGCCAATGTCCAACATACCAAATGGAGAATTTTTTCAGGAGTTTAGTATGACAATAGTTTGTTGATCCAATGTTTGTTGTTAAGAGGCTCCATACATTTCCAGTTTTGAAGTATACACTTTTTTGCAAGCAGGTATATTTGATAAAAATATATGTTTTGAACACAACAGAAAATAAAGGAATATCTAGATTAGCCCCTTTTTTTTCATCAAAGCACATGTTGCAATTCTCTGTGTGTCTTATTTAACTAAAATGGGTTAGAAAAATTATTGTCGATTTGGTAGAAAAATTATTTCCATTGTGAGTAATTTATTGACTAAGAAAAAAAACCTAGATATTTCAGCCAATCACCTGTCAGATCCAGTCAAGTTAAACTGTTTGATTTCAGTCAGGCACTGATTGATTTGTCCATCATTATTAAAAAGTCAATAAGCAGCAGCAGCTGTGCAACACTTTGTAACCACATTAAAACACTCCTACCTCTGTGTTCCTAATGGATACAAACAGAACATTCTAGGGAGAAATAACTGTCTTCACACTTTAGAAGTACAAGGATAAAAATATTAATCTAATTCTCATTTTCCTTAGTATGGCCACTTAGTCTGCTTAGACTATAGAGAGAAAAGGATCAACGATGAGTCAGACTTACCTCTGCCGGCGCTGAATCTCTCACGGGGTCAACTTCAGCTCTCTCAGACTCTATACCCTGAATTATATTGCTTTTTCTGCTGCATCCTGTCGCTAATAAAGTTCAAACCAGTTGTTTTAACCTGGATCCTTCAACCTAACCAGAGTACAGTTGAATATATAGTTTCAGGTTACTAACACTGGTTCTCTCATGGGGACAAGGGGACGGCGTTGAAATATAAATAACCCGACCCACTTCCTGGTAACAATACCCTGACACATTATATTCTCTGTTGAGTCTGCTATGAGCTGATGGGGTTGAACGCAGCTGAATGAAGTCACAGAAAAAAAGGACTTATGATTAGAAGTGTTACCTGGAAGTGAGATACTGAAATGGAGATCTGGTATCTGATGTGCCCCTCTCTGCTCTCTCTCACTTCCTCATCTAAGTTTATTTATGCTACATGTAGGAGGTTGATTCTTCAGGGAAGATAACAGAGCTCTTTTCAGATGTGTTAATATTTATATATGCTGTAAGCAAGATGTCAGACATTTATTGACCTCAAGAAAATATGGCTAACATCCCTCAGCCTGCTGAATCTAATTTTGATGGTCACTCATCCTTTATATAGTTCAGGATCTCAAGGGATTTTGTTAAGACATCAGGACTTGCACAGAAGAATTGGCCATATTTCGACACAATGTATCATTATCTCACTTTTATCACGTAAATGAAAGAAGAAGAAGCCAAAGATTAGCCCCATGTATCAGGGATCCATTATACTGTTGTCAAATTGGCCTTAAAAACGATATTGGCCTATTTCTAACGCACTGCATCAGATTAAACTAAACCTTCCCAAGTTTTTTTTTTTTTTTATTATTTAAAACTCTTTACACCCTTATAGCAGGAATAAAAACTCAAAACATCTAATTGAATTTTGCTCTGTAGCAAATGTAATTTTGTTTTCATAAATTCAGCAGTCAAAATGGTTCAAACCAGCTAATAATCATTGGTAATGTTAAGCATCATAAAATACATTTTATTTAAAAAACTAAGTAAGTATGAAGGTGATGACACATAAATGAGCAAACTTGAACAAGCTCTTGATAGAAACCCTCAATAAAACAGAATAGGTTTTTAAATATTCAGAATGTTGGTGGACATATATATTTATATTCCAAGTATGACAAGTCTAAACACAGAGGCTGTTACATGCTTCTGAATCAAGGTGATTACAGTGTATGAAACAAACTAAATAATTTAGAAAAATTGAAGTAAACAACGAATTTACCACTTTCTTAGCAGCTACATTTGAAACAAAAATAAAACAAAAATTACACAGATTACTTTTTTTAAAGAGTTTGTATGCAACCTAATCAAACCCAGTATCTAATCAGTCTAGCATTTGTTTCTTTTCAGATGTCCTGATCAGATGGCAACATAGATAGGTAAATAAAATAATAAACTCAAGCATAAATAATCAATTTCAATATACAGTATAATAATCAAGTCCAATATTTTTCTCAAATGTTAGTATTTAAATATTGATTTTGAAGATTATTTTAATCCTGTGTTTAAATTCTTTTGAACAGGATAAATTACCTTTTATCCGAGTGAGCCTTGGAGTGTATGGAAGCAAATCGTTACCATATTTCAAATGAAAAGGCATTTTCATAAATGCTTTTTTATTTTAAGAATGTGGCTGCATTGTTTGACTCATAAATAAAAGACTGTGCTTTTTCATTTTTAAATTTTACATTTCAAATTGAATTTTGGTATGTATTTGCTGGGCTACATTTTGAAAAATAAATCTGAAATGTCTTTTTAATTTTAATTAAGTAAAAAGATGAGCAGTCTTGAAGAAGAAAATGAAAATGCAAACAGGATTATTGATTACTAATTTAATTTATTAGTCAAACAATGCAGCCACATTCTTAAAATAAAAAAGCATTTCTGGAAATGCTTTTTTATTTTAAAATTTTACATTTCAAACTGAATTTTGTATGTCTTTGCTGAGATACATTTTGAAAAATAAATCTCAGCTGTC